CGCAACCGCTGAACAAATGTTCCGGTCCGGATAAGCACAAATGCCGAAGTCGTTTAAGGGAAAACTCGCACACTGTAAACAGAGAGTCTGAAATACTTCTCGCTGTTTACTGAAATGGAGCCTGTAGGTAACCATGAACAGATGTACAGTCCTGGTGTCTTTGGGGTTCGTTGTGTTCATAAGAAATTCTTTATGTGCGATTGGAGAGGTTAAAAGAAGTTTCCTGTCTGCACAGTCAAAATATTATTGAAGCAATTCAAGTTGTCAGTAAAAGCTTAAACAAATTTGCTGATAATCCTGTTAATGACCTAGGTCAAGTGTTAACTGTTGCGGGTTATAAAACAGTTAAATTAAGGTTGCTGGTACCCTAGGGCAAATCGTATCATTACAGAAATGGATTAGGAAAAAAACTATTAAATTATAGAGTGATAGCGCTCTTTGGGTTTACGATTTGACAAGAACGGTTTCCCCAAAGTCATCACAACACCTTCCAGAGGAAAAATAAGGAGAATTCTCCTGTTTAAAAAAGTCCACGTCAAAGATATAAAATGCGGAGTTATGGATTCTAAAAGGACATACTTCCAGCTTGAAATGTCTGTACCTATCAAAAAAATCTATTTAAGCCTGAGCATGGAGCGAAATCCATTCATTATTCAGATGTTAATTCCTCCTGACATTTTCCTGTGGTTGAATAGATGGCTCACACTTCACAACTCAGCCAGGTTTTTTATATTATTTTTTAAAGGCAGAGGTTGCTAAAAGGGCTTTAGTTCTACATGCACACACAAATGAAAGTGTGTGTATGTATGCTTGTGTGTGGGGTTTGATAAAAATTACCTGTTTTATCACTTCTTGCTTTAATTGGAGCTTCTATTCACAGCAACCACCGCACAAAAACAGAGTAGATGCAAACTATTAACCACAACCTGAACCTTTAAGCTAAATTTAAATATGGTAATTATTTTAGTACAATATCAAAGTATTCTAAATGTGTCAAATACGAAGCAATACAAGCCAAAACACACACTAAACCTATGTTGCTGTAGGATGAGCTATATCCCTTCCCATAAGTATACATAAGAGGAAATAAGCAAAAGGGATTTGTTTTGGATTTTTTAAAAGGGGTTTGTTCTGCTGTGTCACATAAACATGGCTGAAGACACGTGAAGACTCCAAAATTTAAATCGGTTCAATTATCCCAAAGATTCTGTGATATAGCCGTAGTGGGTAGCAGAAATAGGATGGGTTAATTTATTCTTTTACTTGTCTATATGTGTGTCCGCAAAAATAAGTCCCACTGAGTTAACTGGGGCTTACTTTCACATAGGTGGATATACAATTACAGCCATAGTGTATGATTTAACCCTCACACACTCAAAATAAATCCATACATTTTTATATTAACAAATTTGGAAATATTGCATTTGAAGTTTGTTGTATGCATTCACAGATATTATTTAAAAGAGAGGAAATCATTCAAACGTATGGGGGGGGGGAGGGAGCCTTTAAAAAGTTCACTTGCAAAAGTCAGTTTGTTTTCTGGAAGCCCAAAAGTACTCTGTTGATTTAAACAGAGACACATTTTTCCTGTAATTCAGCTTCCAAGTTCCTTTATAATTGCGTAATTCTAATTACATAATTATAAAATTGGCTGCTTTCGACAACACTTCAAAGTTGGACAGTTTCAAGCCACTGTGTGGTCCATAGTAAAGATTAAAGATAGGAACAAAAATTACTCCCGGCCTTCAACTCCCCAACCCAACATTCATGATATCACACAAAAAGTGTGGAATATGCACACACACTAAATGATAATAATTATACACACAATTAAAAAGAGTTATCCTAATGGCATCTTCTTTGAACCACTATGTCCCTCTGACCACAGTATGCTATCAGAAAGGAGCAAAACAGATACAAAAATTAAGATATCATTTGTTTATATATTGCATACATGGTCTTACTTGCTATTTAGTGCCTAGCCTATCACACTTTGCCAGTCAAAAAGCTATAGCTGCTTTACTGCCCTATTGTGCTCATTAGGAATGAGTTTAGCTGCTAAGAGTTGCAGCCTTTCCAAACTGGCCTCTCCTGATACTCATGCTTCCTTAACAGAAAAAGAGACTATAATAAGAAGACAGATACCATAGATCAGCAATAAAAGTTCTATTAATTAATATTCCATCCTTTCGTGTATCTTTTTTAAAAAGAGAGAGCATTTAATATGTGCTTTTATAAAGAATAGAATTATTTTAAAAATATGCTTGCTTTCCACATGAGGTGTGTGTATTCACACACACAAACACACATTTTAAATCTGCATCACCCTCCCCGCCCCCAAGAATATACATCTTTATGACTTTAAAAAAAGATCATTGTGGGTGCCAAGTCACCTCCAAACAAAACTATTCATTCTGTTCATTTGCTTACTAGCAAAACAATTAAAACAAATTGCTTAATGAGGAAAACTAATCAGGCAAGTTGAAGATTTCGCACAATTATTTAATACTACAAGGTCCATCCACTCTTTTGGCTTTTGAAATTGCATGTAAGTCGGTGTGCTTGAACACTCTTGTGTCAAAGGTTGAACGTTCAGTGGTCTGATTACTGCACTCAAAGAGTTACTGGGTGTGTCTTTTAAAGGAACATCATATACACACACATACATACATATACATACACACACACATATACACACACATATACACACACGTACACACACATATACATACACACGCATATATATACACACACATACGCTCGTCTTCAAAAGGCTTTAATTCTGTTCCCCCACCCTCATCATGCTCAACACCCTCAACAATAGTCTGTGATTGAATAAATGCTTTCTGATTGAATGCCTGTAAATTGGTACACACAGAGCATGCAAGGGAAATTGACATAGTTAAATATGCTACACCAAACACTGGAGACTTTTACAAGAAAGAGCTCGATTTGGTGATTCCCTGAAGTTTTTCATACCAACCAACTTCATTAAGGCATGGCATAATTTATATATGTCTGAAAATCCTGGTATGAATCCCAGAAATAAACCAAATTTTAAGGGACATGAGTTTGGGGGCTTTTTAAAATTTCTCTGTAGATTTATAGGTCAGAGAAACAGACACACTGTTCACTTGGATGCCTGCAATCGGTTATCACAACAAATAGAAATAAGAAAGATGCCACTGAATAATATAAGAAGCCAACACAAGTTTGTTAGAGAGAGAAAGAAGGGGAAAGATTGCCTATTGTTTGATTGTTTTAAGAATGCACTAATTGTCTTATTCAGCCAGATCTGTTGCCAGAACATTTAAATGATATAGAATGCATGCCCTATGTCCTCCCTTTCATGATATGTGTGTGTAGATACATACACAAGAGAAATCCTCAGAGCATTACGGCACCTCTTCCAAATAAAAGAAAATCCTCTCTAAACCCCAGGGCAAAGGCTTCCCTGAGGTGGCATCTCTTGGCAGGGCTTCTATGCTGAGAATCACCAGCCCACCCGCCCTTCTCATTAGAGGCAGGACCCAGCACACACTTGGCACACAAAAGCTATTCAGCCAGCCCTTGGCATTGGCCAGGGCTATTGAAATGCTGAGTTTACCTGCATCCTTAACCTTCTTCTGCCAGAACCTGTCAGCATCACTCCTAGAGTAACCTCTCTCTTATACGCACGCAATCATAAATACACTTACATACAGAGAGCCAGCAATAATAATAATAATGATGATGATAATAACATAGCAAACTCTTACTTAACCGGAATCCATGGGGAGTGATAGATGGTAGATAAATGCACCTTCTGTTTGCTTGAGAGCTACTATTAAAATAGGCCTAACTGATATTATACCAATAATAATAAGGACGACAATAATAATAATATAGCAAACTCTTACTTAACCAGAATCCATGGGCTGATAGATGCTGGATAAATACACCTTCTGGTTGCTTGAGAGTTGCTATTAAAACAGGCCCAACTGATACCAATAATAATAACAATGATGATAATAGTATAGCAAACTCTTACTTAACTGGAATCCATGGGGAGTGATCGATGGTTGGATAAATGCACCTTCTGGTTGCTTGAGAGTTACTATTAAAATAAGCCTAACTGATATTATACCATACCATATCTGTATTGCTATAAATATTGAACATCATTATTATGGAAAGACAGAATGGCAAAGCAAATTAGGATCAGTAAAGACAAACTTATCTTAATGGAACAGCTTTTTAAAAAAGTATTATATCTTTGAATTGTTTTTCCCGTTGCTTGAGAGTCCCGGTTAACTGAGAGATAATGACAACGATGAGGTACTTAATATAACAGCTTTTTTTTTTAAGTATTATATCTTTGAATGGTTTTGCCCATTGCTTGAGAGTCCCGGTTATCAACTGAGAGATGATAATTATATACTTAATGTAATGGCTTTTTAAAAAAGTATTATATCTTTGAATGGTTTTGCCCGTTGCTTGAGAGTCCCAGTTAACTGAGAGATGATGACGATGATGTACTTAATGTAATACCTTTTTTTTAAAAAAAGTATTATTTGTTTGAATGATTTTGCCAGTTGCTTGAGAGTCCCGGTTAACTGAGAAATGATGATGATGATGATGAGTATTATTATTATTTCTGCCCCGCTTTTCTCTCTCCATCGAGAGCCAAATCTGCTCATCACCCTAATAAGAAAAAGAACAATGCCATTCTCCAAACTGCCAATAGAATTCAACTTTGCCCAGAAGTGCCCATCCTCCTGGCTAACAATGGAGCGGCACCTTGATGCCATCGCCTCCAGCGCAAAAGAGAGAGAGAGGGAGGGAGAGAGCAAGAGAGAAGGGGAAGATGCAAAGTGAGAGGTCTGTGGGCGGGATGCTGTGTGGCCCTTTAACAAGGCACGCGCGCCTGGCCAGGTGTGCCTCCAGGGCTCGGGATGCGGGGAAGTTGGGGCGCCGCGCCTGGTCCTGCCCCTGCCGGGCTGCTCACTCGCTTAGCTTACCTTCGTTGCTGGGATGCGGGCTGAGGTCCGCCCGGCTGAGGAGCGGCAGCCCGCTCAGGAGGAAGAGGAAGGCAAAGGCGCGCGGGCGATCCATGGCGAGGGCAGCCCCGGACGCATATCCTCCTGCCGCATGCCAGGGGCGCGAGGAGAAGTTACCATGCTCCGCGCGCCGAGCCTGATGTCAAGTTTGACACTGGAGAGAAAAAGGAGGAGCCTGCCGGGCTGGACCCAAGCTTGGGAAAGAGGCAGGCAGGCAGGAGGAGAGGCGCCCGCCGGGTCCTAGCGCCCGCTGTTCTTCCCCGGATCTGTCCAGCACACCAACAACGCCAGGCAGACTGAACTCAGGGCTGTGGGTATTCAGCCACATCCATCCGTTGCACCAGGGGTCCACAAACTTTTTAAACAGAGGGCCAGCTCACAGTCCCTCAAACTGTTGGAGGGCCGGATTATAATTTAAAAAAAAACATGAATGAATTAGAATCATAGAATCATAGAATCAAAGAATCAAAGAGTTGGAAGAGACCTCATGGGCCATCCAGTCCAACCCCCTGCCAAGAAGCAGGAATATTGCATTCAAATCACCCTTGACAGATGGCTATCCAGCCTCTGTTTAAATGCTTCCAAAGAAGGAGCCTCCACCACACTCCGGGGCAGAGAGTTCCACTGCTGAACGGCTCTCACAGTCAGGAAGTTCTTCCTCATGTTCAGATGGAATCTCCTCTCTTGTAGTTTGAAGCCATTGTTCCGCGTCCTAGTCTCCAGGAAGGAGAAAACAAGCTTGCTCCCTCCTCCCTGTGGCTTCCTCTCACATATTTATACATGGCTATCATATCCGCTCTCAGCCTTCTCTTCTTCAGGCTAAACATGCCCAGCTCCTTAAGCCGCTCCTCATAGGAATTCCTATGCACACTGCAAACAACCTTTTAAAATAATACAATAATTAAAATGAAGAACAATTTAAATAAATATAAGCTTATTAGTATTTCAATGGGAAGTGTGGGCCTGCTTTTGGCTGATGAGATAGGATTGTTGTTGTGTGTTTTCAGTCAGTCAGTCAGTAGCCTTTATTTCGGTCAACAAACCATCGGCTAAGTCAAGTGAAAGTAGGATGATGAAATACAAGAATTAACAATTAATAACATCACATTTGGCTTATAATTAATAAAAACACTTGTGTGTTTTCAAGTCGTTTCAGACTTTGACCCTGAGCAATGGCCAGGTAAATTACCTTGGAGGGCCGTATCCGGACCCTGGGCCTTAGTTTGAGAACCCCTGCCTTACACAATGCTGCCTAAAGATTGTGAATGGCTGCTAATAATAATAATAAGCCATCAGAACAAATGCAATTAAGGCCAGGATTGAATAATCAGCAGATGACCCAAAATGCAGATGGTGCAAGGAAGCTATTCAAACCATGGACCATATCCTCAGCTGTTGCAAGGAAATCGCACAGATGGACTACAAACAAAGACACAATCTGTGGCCCAGATGATTCACTGGAACTTATATCAGAAGTACCACCTACAAGCAGTAAAGAATTGGTGGGATCATAAACCCGCAAAGGTTGTGGAAAATGAACATGCAATACACTGGACACTGTGATTGTGGAAAAGAAAAAAAGTCTGGATTATTGATGTCTCAATTCCAGGTGACAATTTGCAATGATGATGCCACCAGTTTGTGAAGATTTTGTAAAGATGCCACCACTTTGTAAGAGTTTATTAAATTGATAACGTCGCTAATAGCTAATAATATTGGTCTTTCTTCAAGATGTAGCATGACTTAACTTGGAAAGGATTTGTAACAGAGACCAGGCTTTATAAGAACTGTAACAAGTTTATTGAAATGGAGCAGAAGCTTGATAGTTTCAATGTTTCTTGACTATTAGAGGCACATATTTTCAGAGGTTATATTTATAACATTCCTTAAAACAACTCTGGAAAGGACTCTTCCTCCCACTGAACAAGTTTCAAACTATTTTTTCTTCTAACTGTGTTTCTTTCCTTAATAGATTACTTCAGATACAAGCTTATTCTTCCTTTGTGATATTTCTGTTGCAATAAAGATTCTCGCTCTTATTCATTTACTCCTTCCAGCTGGATAGCACTGGAGCCAACCCTTCCTGGTGTGCCAAAGCCAGGAGGCAAATGGGAGCATCCAGAGTGAGGAAAGCTTGGAATATTTTGTACAGCAGTAGAGTTTTCTATTGTAAGCAGGTAAGCATAAACTATAGATAGGACTGAATCATCACTGCCAAAGTGGAACGAAAGTGCAATTGCCAATGTAGTGTGAAAGCACCATTGAAGTGGCTTCAGCTCTCACTTGCTCTCAACTGAGTTTACTGAGAGAGTGAGCAGCGGAGTTAGGAAAAGATATGTCCTTTTACATGGGAGATGATGGACCAAAGGATAGGAGAATGAGGGGCCAGGTAAAGATCTTTTCATTTAGGTGACCCTATGGCAGGCATGAGCAACATTCTAACTTGGGGCTGCATGATAGAGGGGCAGGCCAGGAGAGAGGGTGTTCTCCCCAAGTCCCCACTCTTCCCTTTCCTCCCCTTCCTCTTCTCTTTTGGAGGCAGAAAGTGAAGGAAAGATGTGAAAAGTTTGCATCCCAGAGGGGTTAGCCTTAGACAGGAGGAGATGGTGGATGGGAAAGAAAAAGTATATTCGTTAGACTCCATATTGCCTACTCCTGATATAGAATATAGAGCTTAAAGAGACCCCCAAGGGCCATCCAGTCCAACCCCCTGTCAGGCAAAAAGGCACAATCAAAGCACTCTGGATAGACAGCCTCTGCGGAAATGTCTTCAGAGAAGGCAGCTTATGCTACTGTCCAACAGCTCTTACTCTCAGGAAGTTCTTCCTAACCTTTTCATCAAATCTCTTTCCCTGTCATTTAAAACTATTGCTCCCTTGTGCTATGGTCTCTAGAGCAGCAAAAAGTCAGGTTTCACCCTCTTCCTCCATGGAACACCCTTTTAAATCTGGAAACATGGTTCTCATGTTCCCTCTCTAACTTCTCTTTTCCAAACATCCCCCAGGGGGAAAAGAGGAAGGAAAGAGAGAAGGAAAGGAAGGAGGGAGGAAGAGAAGGATGGAAGGAAGGGTGGAAGGGAATTGAGAGAGGGGGAAGGAAGAAGGGAGGAAAGACAAAAGGGAAGGAAGGGAGGAGGGAGGGAGAAAGAAGGAGGTAAGGAAGGGAGGAAGGGAGGAAAGAGAGAAAAGATAGGATGGTGTGAGATAGGAGGGCCTGAGAAAAGAGCATAAGCAGCTGCATCTAGCCCCTGGGCCTGGGTTTGTTTATACCCGCCCTACGGTATTTAGGTCTTTTGGGGCTGACTTTTGTCTTTCTATGTTTTAAACACATTTCAAAATATTTTGAATCAATCTCTAAATGGGACAGTTTCTTTAATAGTTCAAAAACTTTTTTTTAGTTTTTGCTGTGTGCCTTTAAGTCATTTCTGACTTATGGTGACATTAAGGCAAATTTATCATAGGCTTTCCTGGGGCTGAAAGAGTGTGATCCACCCAAGGTCACTCAGCAGAGAATTGAATCTGGTCTCCAGAGTCATAGTCCAACACTCAAACCCCAACACCATCCTGGTTCTGAGAAATGTTGTCTCAATTGTATCTTGGTGAGTAGTTTAAGCTCAAATCCTGTTTCGCTCCCAAGATAAATTAAAAAAATACATACTTAGCTGAACTAGGAACCAGACCAGAGATCCTACTTACTGGGTAACCAATAACCAACTGGCAGGGTGCAGGAAAAGAGGCACCTGCCTTCACTTTTTTTAAGGGCACCCAGTTGGCACTCCTTTGAAGAAAAATGCCAAAGAGACAGAGAAGGAATAATCAAAATCACTCTCAGTCACCCATATGGCAAAGCTCAAGAGATAAAGTGCTTTCCAGGGAATCCAGATGTGAGTTCTGTCCTTGGCTGGGGGAAAGGGTTTGAAACTCCTTCCAGGTTCTGCTTCATAGAATCATAGAATTATTGAGTTGGAAGAGACCTCATGGGCCATCCAGTCCAACCCCCTGCCAAGAAGCAGGAAATCACATTCAAAGCACCCCTGACAGATGGCCATCCAGCCTCTGTTTAAAAGCCTCCAAAGAAGGAGCCTCCACCACACTCCTGGGCAGAGAGTTCCATTGCTGAACACCTCTCACAGTTAGGAAGTTCTTCCTCATGCTCAGGTGGAATCTCCTTTCCTGTAGTTTGAAGCCACTGTTCTGTATCCTAGTCTCCAGGGCATCAGAAAGCAAGCTTGCTCCCTTCTCCCTATGACTTCTCGCATATTTATACATGGCCATCATGACCCCTCTCAGCCTTCTCTTCTGCAGGGGAAACATGCCCAGCTCTTTAAGCCAGTTTTTGTTTATATAAAGAAGGATAAAGAAGGCGTGGTTCTTTGGTTATTACCTGATGTGTTCCCTATCCTACTGGCATGCTAGCTAACACAGCCAATGATGAGCATGATGGGAGCTGTATGTAATTCAAGAAGATAACATGTTTACAATAATAATGCTTTATTTATAACCCACCCTATCTCCCCGAGACATCTTTGTTGTTGTTGATTTATTGTTTTATCATCAATAATTTTTAAAGGTGCCACTTTTCATCCTCCACATTTTCTTACTGTTATTTATTCAAAATAAACAAAAACGTTACACAGCAGATGGGAGGTGTAGTTCTTCCTCCATTAAAGACCAGTTGCACCAAAATAGGCTCTTCAACTGCATGTTTGCAATGCTAAGATTAAGTCAGGCAGGTGGAGAGCAGTGTTTCCTGAACTGCATAATATGAGAAAGAAACAGTAGTACCCCCCCCCCCCTTCCGCAAATCCATTTCAATATCTCCTTATCTCAGCATGGGCTAAGAAGAAAAGGAGAGGAAGGTGGTTTTATCATCAATGAAAGTAGAAAATCGATAATGCATGTGTTATTTATTTACAAGCACTAGGGCCCTCTGGGGATGCTAGCTATCCACACTCCCCCTGGAATCCTTTTATTTTTAGCCCTTGTGGCTCAGACACTCCATTTAGTTTTATTTTCCCTTGCTTCTAGCATGACTTGGTATTAGACCACAGAACTGAAAATCTGCGAAGACACACTGAAGGACATTCAGGGCATTTACATTCTCTGGGTTTACATCTGTGTTGTTCTATGAGCTCTGCTTTCTAATCATGTTGGGAATCATCTCAGTTAAGGAC